CGTCGTTTCGATTCGAAGGTATAAGCGCGAAGGATGAAAAGGGGAGGATGGAAGGGGGGGGGGGACTGCACGGCTGTTGTAGGTGTGCTGTGGGGTACTCACCCAAACCGATAAAAAAAGCTTTATTTAAAAAAAAAAACAAGAAAAACTGACAAATTCCGGAGAATTCAGCAGCAGTTCCAAGCAACCACCGGATAGTGAGGGAGCGGCTGCAAGCTGGCACACTGGACAATTCTTGTGACACAAAAAACAATCACTCCTTTATTTTTAATTACATTACATATCACGGGGGGAGGAACTCGAGTCAGGAGACGGGACGTTTGCATATCACATGGAATCGAAGAGCAACTAAGTAAGGCGAAGGGGTTTAGCCACCAGCTTCGTTACCTTGCAGCTAGCACCTTCTTCTTTTTGCAACAAAGGGATCGAATGTAACTTGCCCATATGAATGATAAAACTAACTAAGGAAGCGCAAGTTCTAGATGAGAATTTGCGAAATTCTGTAGTGGTTGCAAAAGTGCATGCTAAAAAATTAAAAAGCGAAGCATGTAAATGTTGGGATATAAAAAGCGGAGTTATCGTTTTGGTTTAGATGCACCACCTGACTTAAGTTTATCTTTTTCTTTTTCGATTGCCCTTTTTTCGAGTAGACGCGCTATTGATTTTTGCGCTGTTTCAAATATCAATGGAAATTTTGCCAAAAAATCATTGGATACTTAGCTGGTCGATTTGTCTGAGGCATCGCTCTCATGCTGAATATCGAGGACTGGCCTGGCCAGTGGGAGAGCCAGTTTTTCTTATACTCGTTCATTCATTTCGATAATAAATTGGTATTAGCATATGCCAGGAGTTGAAATTCCTCCTCATCTTGTTTTTAAGCAAACCTCGGAAGAGGGAACCATCGACAGCCCTGCGATTCTGTGAATGTTGGGAAGTGTTCTTATACAGTTTGTCTTAAGTATCTCGTCCCTTACGAAGTGATTTATGGAAGAATTTTGACTTTTGACTTGACTGATCGAAAGTTTTAAAAAAATTCGTTCTTTGAATAGCAGCTTTTTTTATTGGTATATTCCGTCTCGCCATCGATGCAGCTGGCAAAGTTCCCATTCTGCTGGATCCTGAATCGACCACATGGCTCCCTGGAACTA